GACCATAGCCACAGGTGCTATAGGTCATGTGGGGAGAGTCGCGGATGAAGCCGTCAAGGCAGCGAGAGAGGTAGTCCGCCGCAAGAACGAAGAGGGAGGGGGAAAGAGGGTCGCCCTGTCTAAGGCCTCTAGAGAAGGGAAAGAAATCGGTGGGGCTGCCATTAATCAGGACCGAGAACGTGCAATGCTCCACACACGCCTCCACAAAGCTGATCCAACGCTCAGGGAATCCCATCCTAGCCAACGCCTCCCTAAGAAACGGCCACTCAACCCTATCATACGCCTTAGCCATGTCCAGTTTCAGCGCGATATTCGGAGCCCGCTTCCAGTCCGCTCGGGAGATGTCGTGGATCATCTCCTGGGCCAAAAGGATATTATCACTAATGACCCGGTCCTTGACGAATCCACTCTGGTTCGGAGAGATGAGAGAGGGGAGAAGAGGGGAAAGACGGCCGTTAAGAATCTTCGATATGAGCTTGTTGGTCACGTTACACAGGCTGATGGGCCGGTAATCGGACCAAGAGCTCGGGTTGGGTCGTTTGGGGATCAAGACGACAGAGGTAGACGTGAAGGAATCCGGCATCCGGTGGCCTGAGAAAAAGTCCAACATCGCCTCCTGGACGTCAGTCTCGACAATATCCCAGCAGACCTGATAGAAGAGGGAGGAGAAACCATCCGGGCCAGAAACGCTGTTGGGATCAATCCCGAATACAGCATCCCTAACCTCCTCCCTGCTCGGGAGCTCACAGAGGCCAATGAGATCGACAGAAGGAGGGATGGTGGGGAAAAAAGAAGCGTTCGGGCCCACGAGGGAACCTCTGTCAGAGGTGAAGAGGGTCTGGAAGTGAGCAACAGCCGACTCCCGAATCTGAGCCTCCTGGGTCAAGGATGACCCATTAGTCTCGATGATATGGATGTACGACTTAGCACGCTTCTGCCTAACGTAGCCCTGGAAAAACCTAGTGTTCCGCTCGCCCTCAGCCACCCAGCGAACGGCCGCCTTCTGCTTCCAGAAGCCCTCCTCCATAAGGAGTCGGAGCTGGTACTCGGCGTGGCAGCGGTGCATGGCGGTCCTATTCTCCGGAGTGGGACTCAGGTCATAGGCCCGCTCAGCCGACGCATGCGCACTCTGAGCCGTAGCAAGGCGGTGATGAAGGTTTCCAAAAACATCCCAGTTCCACTGTCTCAACCGACGCCGCAGTCTGCCGCGCTTCGCCTCGAGATTGCGCATCCCGAAGAGCCCAGTCGGCTGAAGCCAGGAATCCCTGACAGTGTCGTGTAAGGAGTGGTGGCGAACCCACATGTTTTGGAACCTAAAGGAGGCGCGGCGAGGAGTGCTCGAAAAACGACATCTAATGAGGAGGGGTGAATGGTCAGACCCAAATCGAGTGAGGTGCGTGACGGTCATGACCGCAAACACCTTCGACCACGCTTCAGAAATCAAAGCACGGTCGAGTCTCTCCTTGAGGTTGTCCCTAACCCACGTGAAGGGCTCACCCTCGCATCCAGCATCAAGCAACTCGCAGTCCGCCACAGTCTGCGCAAAATCTCACATCTCTCGGGATCGGTCCGTGCGGCCACCCACGCGCTCATCGGGGTGCAGAAAGATGTTGAAATCGCCACTAACCATCCATGGCAATCCCTCCATACTCTCGGCAATCTCACGCAGGGTGTCCCAAAGATCATATCGCCCGACGCTAGTACACTTGGCATAAACCAAGGTGTGAAAGATGGGCTCCGGAAGGTGGTTAGCAGAAATCTCTACGTGGAGCACCTGATCGGTATCGCGGAGGACCCGACAAGTGTAGTCACGCGAGTGGAAGAACCAGATCTTGTGCGAAATATTACCCACGCCCGAATGGAAGCCCAAACGACGCGAGTAGTAGTCAAAAGAAGGAGTGCGAATCATCGGCTCAATAAAGCCAATAAAATCGACTCTGTGGTCACGAATGAGAGAATGAAGGTGAGAAAGAGTAGCCATGTTCGCCAGGCCACGGCCATTCCACGTAATGGATGTGATGGACATATCAACGGTCGCAAGAGCCACCGGACGTAGTCCGCCTATGGCGAGGCTGATTCGGGCCACCTAGAGAATGGGAAGTCGTCCGTCGTGTCGTGCGACGGAAGGGTCCAATAGCAGGAGAGATCGTCTGCCGTCTCGTGTGCTGCGTGGCTCTGGTCCTCGAGGTTTGTCTGCCTCGGTATGTACTCGTGGCCTGTGAGTCGTCTGGCTGGACAGACTGGCCTATTGCAGCACTAGCGGGTTGCCCCATCTCCGGGGCTGTCTCCTGTCTGTCAAGGTGAAGAAAAGCACTAGAGGCGAAGCTCTCGCACGAGACGTCATGCTGCGCGCGGTTGAGCTCGCATATCTGCTCGGGGATGGGCGAAAGAGAGGGTCCAACAGGCAGAGCACTTGGGTGCTCGCCGGTAGGAGGGGGCTGAGGGCTGGCTATCAGCTCGACCGAGCTCCGAATCTCAGCAGGGAGGGGATGGGCCGACTCATCCCCTTTCGGGGGGGCGGTGGCAGCAGTAGCCCTCGAATCCGAGGATCGGACCGGGCTAGATGCGTGTACGGTCAAAGGACCAGCATCGCGCGCACTATCGTCGGATAGGTGGATGGACTCTCTCCTGGTCGTGGCGTCCGGCTGGTCCATGTCGTCTCCAAGGAGGTCATCGTCATCCAGAATAGTAAGGTCGGTAATCTTAGGAGGCCTGCTGGAGGAAGGAACAGACTCCTTCTCGGTCTCAGGGGATAGGATAGCAAAATAGGAGTGGTTGGCCTTGAAGGCTGTCTCTAAGGTCTGTCTAGGGAGAAAGCCCGTGGACTTGGGCTTGGGACCCACTAATGCCAACTGCTTAGGCTGGTTAGGATGAGCGTCCTTCCCAGTTTGGGCAGTATCGATAATCACAGCCTTGCCCTTATCCTTAGACCCCTTCGGGGTCTCGGGCGCGCGGAGAGGGCTTTTACCCTTTCCCTTCGGGTCCCTCCGGCTGGTGGAGGTTCCCTGCTGGGTCGCACGATGGCGCTGCGGGAGGGCAGGCCGTGGCTTATTGCCACTGATGTAGCAATCAGCCGCAACATGACCCACATGACTGCACGAGGTGCAGAAAGCGGGGATCTTCTTATAGATCACCCGCTGAACAAAGGACTCCGAGCCCTGTTCAATCTCAATCTCACGAACGAGCTCAGCTCTCAGATCTATCTCTACGCAAAATCGCGCCACGTTAGCCCTCGTCTGAAGGGCCGTCGGGGCGTCGATACGAATCGGCTGCCCAATACACTTAGCTAGTGTAGTGATGGCAGCACGATCGTAAAGATGAAGCGGTAAGCCGGGAAGGCGGCACCACACGGGGACAACCGGCGCCTCCGTCTTCGGGTTACTTCTCTCATGCTGCTAGGTTACTTTCTCTCAGCTAGGTCAATTGTCTGTAGTTGCTAAGTTAGTTATATTTATTTGCTAGGATAGTTCTCTGATGCTGCTAGGTTAGTTGTATGTAGTTGCTAGGTTACTTCTCTCATGCTGCTAGGTTACTTCTCTCATGCTGCTAGGTTCGTTTTATGTGTTTGCTAGGTTAGAACTCTGTTCTGCTAGGTTAGTTGTCTACTGCTGCTAGGTTAGTGATCTAGTGCTGCTAGGTGTTAGTTATATATCATGAATCAAAATTCCAGAATAACATGGACAATTTATTCAACATTATCAGCAACATTATATAATTTGAACAACTGCATCAACATTATATAATATTCTTGCAAGAAAACAGAGATTCTACAAAAATCAAAATTGCAGATAAGCACGAACAATTTTTTCAATATTACGTGATTGATTCTAATTGAATAACTCGATTTTCATTCATGGTGAATTCATCAGCAACTATTTTATTTAAAGTCAGTATACCTTCTTCCATTAATGGCGCAACTGGAGTTGCTTCGATCTCCATTGAAGCTGCTCCCGTCGACATTTGTAGATAAATTTGATGAAATCGACTTTTTTTTTCCCTAGATATTTTTGACGAGCAATTGAGTTTGCCTATAGAAAACGAGAGTTAAACCTAATCAGACGATGAAATCGAACTTCAAATTGATAAGGAAATCGAGATTGAGAAAGAAATCGCAGAGAATCGTGATTGAGGAGGAAATTTGAGATATTATTTCCGATTTTGTGTGCGCGCGAGCTGAAGGTTTATAATTATATATACCTGATGCTGACCGTAGATTTAAAAGGCAGATTCAACGGTTGAGATTGGGTCTCACGTCCACATTTTAAGAGGTGGACCCATTGGATCCGTGTAGTTGTGTCGTGTAGTTTTATGTATGTATGTATTATAATATATGAGAATTTGCCTTCATCTGCTTTCACAACGACAACATAAAGATCAAAAAGGAAAATGGCCAGCAAGATACAAAATACGAAAACAACACACGATTAGAATAGACAAGTTATTGGCACAACACAAAACTACACGACACAACACAACAAGAAATGCGGAGCATAAAAAGTTAGGTTAAATTTAGATTTAGTAACAAACTTATAATCAAATGGGCACAACACAAAACTGCATGTCACATGACAACACGAAATGCATAAAAAGTTCGGTTAAATTCTGATTTAACTAAAACTTATTATCAACCAAAATGAATAACAAGAAGAAAACAAGATAGTGAAGCACGAACACAACACAATAGCATGATTTTGCCAACCCCAAGATGAAAGATAGGAAAATGCCCGTTGATATGATGTGAGATTGAAGGTGTACAATAAAGATTGGTGTTTGATGGTTAATTCCTCCATTGGACCCAAAATTTAAAAAATTTTCAGTTGCGTAGTCGTGCATAACATTTGTACGCAACATTTAAGGATATCAGAAGAATCATATAGATATAAAAGATCTCAATATTTACCTAATTTATGAAAGCAGCTGACCTAGAAACGAGTTCAATACCATTACCATCCAAAACAAATTCATCCTTCACCTTCTCAAATCGCACGACCGGAAACCCTTCACACATATCCACCTTTCTCATCCGATATAACATTTTTAGATCCGTAGGCTACTGTTATCCAATAACCAATAACATACTCAGCTCTAGCATAACTATATTTAAAGCATTTTTAAAAAATTCCAAAATAGTACAATTATAAATAAATAAATTAGTAGAGAGACATTGCCAGTGAACAATGAAGCATATGCATTGCAAAAAAATGAAAGCTTAACCCTAATAATCAGAGAAGCCTATCTTTAACACAAACATGGAGAAGAATTCACAGTGAAGTTTTCACTGAGCAAATAATAGCCATTTTTAAATTTAAAATCCCCAAACTAACAATAAAATCACACAAACGCACAAGCAGGTAAAGCAATTCACATCTTAATACAACAAAACACATAGAAAAACATAGAGGAGCTAAAAATTTCTCATACCTTCTTCTCGCCAGGGAAGTTACGGATCTCAATAGCTTTTCCACAATTGGTGATGGAGGCGTTGATCGAAAAGTGAGCGTACTAGAAATGCATCTTGTAGCGGTAGCCCTTCGTGACGCCGTTGATCAGGTTGGTGATGTGGCTAAGCGCCGTACGGATAGCGGTGGTGGTTTTTTGGTTGCTGAACCAGGCGTCGACCTTCAGCTTCTTCTTCCCTGTGGTCTCTTCGGTGATGAGCTAGAAATCGAGGTTCACGTGCTTGAAATTGCGCGTGAGCTTACTCCTGGGACCCTCGACCTCGATCATCTTCGCCTTCACCTGGATCTTCATGTCGTCGGGAATTGCTTGTGAGGTTGAATTGCCTTGCCAGAGAGGTCAAATTTATAGAATTCGTTAAGGTCGAATTTCCAGAAATCAGCAAGGAACCTAGATCAATAGCTGAATAGGTACCCAAGATAGACATGAGATGATGAAGTCAAAACTCAAATCTAGCATGTCGTGTTATAAGCAAATGATGTACACATGTTCGTTTTCTGAAAATAAATAAATGTTATACTGAAAACACATATATCAAAATACATACCGCTCCTTCAAGTGGTGCATTGATTCTCATATTGGCAAAATTGAAACTCACATCATGACTTTATCAATTTTTGCAATTTTGACTTTTGGACATTGTCACTTCGATACCCAACCTTTGAGTTTTTTGCAAGACCAAGCATTGATCAACTCGCTGGCCGATTGATGCCATCCTGTCCGGCAACTTAATCCAACGTGGCAACTGATGTGGATTATATTACACGTCAGATCGGGACAACGTTTCCATAAAATCAAAAAATTCTAAAAATCCCTAAATTCAAAATCAATTGCCCGATCCCTAAAATTCACTTTCCAAAATCAAAACCCTAAACTCCCTAAATTCTTCTTCAAATCCCAATTGCCCGATCCAAAACCCTCGACCACTTACCAGAATCCCAATGGCGAGTAGCTCGACGAATAGTGGACCTTCCAGAGGGAGTGCAACCAATGCAAGAATCCATTGTTATCATGGACTTGAGGCCGATTTGAAGACCTCGCACACCGAAAGAAATCCGAATAGAAGATACTATCGTTGCCCACTTCAAAACGTAAGAGTTTTCAACTGCCGACAACATCAATTCATTTTTATTTAAAATTTTGCATTTGTTCTTCACTTTTTTTTTTTTAATTTTGATAATTTTCGTCGGATTTAATCAAATGATTGTAGGTTCTTTATATGGTTTGATCCTGACATGACACCCTTCCAAAAGGCTGCTTTCCTAAAGCTGAAGAATGAAAAAAATGTTTTGGGAGAAGATTTTAAATGCAAATAAGAGGAGCTCGAAGTGATAATGTCAAGACCGGAAACGATGACTATAGAGTTGTCAGAGCTGAAAATGAAACATGCTAAATTGGAGGAATTAATCGACACAATTGTTAAGAAGGAAAAGAAATTTCCAACTGCATTTGTTATGTTCATGTTGGCATGTTTTCTTCTTGTGTTAATGTTGAAGTAGAATAGAAGTAATGGTTCTGTTGAGGAGGTTGATGAATTATTCTGGGACATGATTATGAATTATGTTGATGAATTATGAATTTCCAACTGCATTGTATTAATGTTCATGATGAATTATGTTGATGAATTATGAATTTTCTAAGATGTGGTGTTGTGACAGTGTATTCTTGATGTGTTGGGGCAGTGTTGGTTATATTGGTGCAGTGTGTATGCTTGATGTTAAGAGAAAGTTTATTCAAGAAATTTTGTGTTGAAAGTTTGTTCTGGCTAAGAAGTGCAGTGTGTAAATTTGTGCAATTTGACTAAATTTTAATGAAGCAGTGCACTGTATAAATTTGTTTTGTTTGATGCACTTTGGGTAAATTTTGTGCATTGAAGATGCTCAAGATGTACTTATGTTGGAAGAACAATCAATATGACCACTGTACATACAATACTGATTAATGAAGACCACCAGCAGTCCAACCTATACTTATGTGATTTCTAATCAAACCAATAACCATAATCTTTGTCAAACTAATACCAAGTACAACCAATAATAATGAAGAACACCAAAAATTCCAACACATTCAATTCCAGAAATTCAACCAACATATTGGATATTTATGTTAACAAAAACATATGTTCAACAACCAACCGAAACTAACCAACATACTGTTAACAAACAACATCTTTTCACCAATTCAACCAAAACCAACATCTGTTCAACAATCCAACAAAAACCAACAATCATTGTTACACATCCTACCAAAACCTAATATTTGTCCAACAATCCCATTAAGAATGCAGAAAACTAATTTGTTGCACTCTCTTGAGTGCTAGTGGTATGACCCATTCCTCTTTGAACCCTCCCTCTCTGACCTCTGCCACTGCCACTGCCACTGCCACTGCCACTAGGGTTGGCACTGCCGCTGCTCCCACCTCTAGATGATGATCCTCCACGAACAAGATGAACCCTTTTCTCAGTGGACATCTGTTGAAACAAGTGTAAATATGAGCAAAGCAACAATAAAACATGACTTTAATATCAAAGTTGCAAGAATAGAAAACAAGCCTAATTAAAGATAATATACCCTCATGTAAATATTTCCAGTCTGCTCAGACACCAAAACTCCATAACCTTTTTTGCCTGTCCATAAGAATATAAAATTATTTTAATATTCTTCAGTAAAAATTAAAAGAACAATAGAAAGCATAAAAGTTACCAAATTTCTTTCTCTATATATTTGACTTCAATTCCATGATCATTTGCAGATTGGAGAGTTGGTTCAGTCTGAGTCATCCTCACAGGGTTCCTTCTTGGTTTTTTCCTACCAGATTGGGGAGCTGGTGGAGGATTCTCAGCTTCAGTGGCATGTGACACTACACTTTTTTGCTTCCTTTGAATCTGTATAAAAAAAAAGATTATAAAAAGAAATTCACTAATGGATTTTGAATAAAATATTGTATTTGAATTAATTTTACCTTTTTTGGTTTCTCAACCGGGGCATTAGTACATGACTTCCTATTATGACCAGTTTTGAAGCAATTTTGGCAAGTCATTTGCAATCCAAACCTTTTTAGCTTTGTGCTACTCTTTGCTTCCTCCTCAGGTGCCCTTTTTCTTGAATTTTTCTTTGGTCTCCCAGGCATCCTTCTTAGAGAAGGTGGTTTGATTGGATAACCAACTGCTTCAGGCCACATTTTCTTACCATTCAGAGGCTCAAGTCCTTTTGAATAAGCAGCAATATACCTCTCAACATAGTAATGAGGATGCACATAGTCTGTGACATCATGCTTCATCCAGTGTATTGCTGCACATGCATGAACACAAGGGATCCCACTAACATCCCAAGATCTGCATGTGCATGTCATCTCTCTCAATGAGACAACAAACTGATCTTCTAACAACTGAACTTGGAATTTTTCTCCTAAGGCTGGCTTGGTAATACAAAGCCTACTCTTATACTTATTATCATCAACCTTAACTCTAATTCTAGGACATATCTTATCAGTGATGCCACAAATTAACTTAAGTTTTTCATGCTGCCTCTCCATGACATAACTTCTAATGCTTTCTAACATCTGCACAATGGGTTCCTTTCTAGCTTTCACAATGGTGCTATTGAATGTTTCACAAACATTATTCAAAATCATATCACATTTAGGAGATTGTGAAATAAAACACTTACAGAACCTAAAAGTCTCCTTTTCAAAGAAGTCCTTGAAGGCACTCTCATCTACTGCCTTCAAATCCTCAAGTGCTTCCTTGTATTCAGCCTCATATGTGCTATGCACAAGCTTCCAAAAACAGTTCTTCAAAGTCTGGCCTTTATTAGCTTTCTTCCAGTTCATGTACACATGCCTAGCACAATTCCTGTGCTCAGCATGTGGTGCATATTTCTTGACAACATTCATAAGACCCTGCAATATCAATATAAAACAAGAGGACAACATTTGAATAAACAAAATAGGATATATTGCAGAATGTAAATTAAATGAATATTGACAGTATTTAAAGCAATTTTCTAACCTTTTGCTGATCACTTATGAAGGTCCATCCCAAACCATCTCTTATTTGCAGCTCTGGCAGAAGTTTCTCCAAGAACCAAGACCAGGTAAATTCATTCTCCATGTAGGCAACTCCCCAGGCAATTGGGTAAATCTGATTATTACCATCCTTGCCAACTACACACAACAAAACACCTCATAAACTTGTCTTCAAGAAGCAGCCATCCAGTCCAATCACTGGTCTGCATCCTTGTAAAAAACCATCCCTCAATGCAGTAAACCCAATATACATGGCTTTGAACATGCTGCCCTCTTCCAAAAGAACTTCAAACTTCCCAGCCCTATCAACTCTCATCAACTCAGCTATGTAGCTTCTTAAACATTTATAGTGTTCTTCTTCAGATCCTCTAATCATGTCCAGTGCCTTCTTCTTTGCTCTATACAACTTCCATTTTGAAGGTTGAACAGAATACTTGTCAAGCATGTACTCCTCTAACTCTCCAATCTTCATTCTTGGCTTCTTTCTGAATTTGTTGATGCATTCTTTGGCAATCCACCTAGCATTGGCTTGTCTTGTTCTTATGTCCCTGGTACAAGTGTGCTTTGAAATAAGAGTCTTTACAACAACTCTTCCTTCAGCCTTGATTTCACTAGCATATATTTTCCAAGGACAACCCTCAATGCACTTGGCTTCAACCTGATGATGATTAACTCTCCAAAACTGGATATTACACCCATTATACACAGCATAACTCTGAATGGCCTCTTTACACTGAGTAATGTTCTCAAATCTCATTCCAAGCTCAAATGTCAATGCCTTGTGATCACAGTTTGGGTCATACACCACCATTTTCATCTTTTTCCTTCTTTTTCTATCTTCAGTATCCTCACTATCATCATCTGACAATGATGTTCGTGAGTCAATCTCATCTGAGTCTTCAATTTCTGATGCATCCTCTCTGCATGGTTCACTTTCATCACCATTAGTGGGTATTGAAAAGTCTGGATCACTTTGAGAGTTAGCTTGTGTGTTGTTGTTCATTTCCTTGGCACCTAAGAACCTTTTTTTCCTTGATAAAAGGTACTCCTCCTCATCAGTTCCCAAGTCAGCCTCAGAAAGTCCATCATCGCTAGAGCTGCAATCTGATGGGCTATAATCATCATCTTCATCATCAACAACATCATCATAGGTATTCACAGGAGGTTGAACATTGGTTCCTTCTTTTTCACCACCATCACCACCTTCAACTGCATTTTCAACAGCATCACCACCTTCAATTGAATTTTCAACAGCATCACCACCTTCAATTGCCTTTTCAACAGCATCACCACCTTCACTTGATTCATTGATCTTATTCTGCCCTTTTTTCCCACCATCAACAAAAACATGAGCATAAAATTTATTGGGTTCCAAATTCCCAATCATATCCATCAAAGTAGCATCATTGTGGATATTTATGTAACTAACCAATCCCATTTCCGCACGGATCTTGTAATACAAGTTTCCAACCTCAGTGTAACCAAGTTTTTCAATTTCATCTACTAAATCCAAGTACCCAAACCTGTCAAGATCAATACCATGCCTGATATGAACGTCTCCTCCAAAATACTCCATCGCATTATCCAACATAACAAAACTCCCACCGTGATTCAGAAAGATTGATAAATTTTTGCTGAAAAACAGAATTAACAAAATTTATCTCAGAAATCAGAAAGGTCCTCCACATACCCCACATATATATAAACCCTAATCTATCGATTTTGAATAATAAAACATAATGCACTAATATTGACAAAATAAAGTAAAAAAAAAGAAGAGTTATTTCATACCTGTCTGCCATCTTCAATGGGATCTGCCGAGAATTTTTAGGGTTCTTCGATGGGGTCTTCAGAAATTTCAAGCTTTCTTCACAAAATGCGGATTTGGCGAGAATTTGTACGGTTCTTCGATGGCTTTTGGATTTTTCGACGTAAATTTTGGGATGTTGGTCGAAGAAAGAACAAAAGGAACTAAGGGATTTTGGATTTCGATTTTGATTTAAGGTTAGGATTTTAGAATATGTTTTTGATTTATTATGTAATAAATGAAAATTTTCAAGTATTTATACATATCAGTGCCACGTTGTCGATCGATCTGGCGTGTAATTTAGGCCTGAGGAATATAATCCACGTCAGTTGCCACGTTGGATTAAGTTGCCGGACAGGATGGCATCAGTCGGCCGGCGAGTTGGTCAATGCTCAGTCTTGCAAAAAACTCAAAGGTTGGGTATCGAAGTGCCAAGCTCCAAAAGTCGTGACAGAATTGCAAAAGTCGATAAAGTCATGATGTGAGGTGCAATTTGGCCTTCTCATATTCGGACAACGAGAGCGAATGGCTTCAGTAACCTTGGAGGAGCTGTTGCAGCACAGAATGAGTCGGCAAGATGAATTGTATTTCTCCATTGTAACATACCTCCTTCTATATTCTTAAACTTATGAAAAACAGAGTAAAATTTTTGAGTTCTTGTTTCGAAAACTCTTTACTTAATGTGGGAATGCCTCTACTGAAATTGACTGGCTATCTATTTTTTAACATTCATGCATGCCGTCTAATAGTAAAGTGGATCACCTTGTGAGATCACATGACGGAATTCTACATGCAGTCTTAATACTTGAAACTAACTTTATGCATGCCGCCTAATATGATATGGATCCCCTTGTGAAATCAGGGCGTAATTCTACATGTGTACATAATATCTAAAAATCTCGCATGCAGAAGATGAAACTAAAGTACATCAGTCTGAACATTCTGAAAATAAACTTATTACATAATGACATAAACAAATGTCCACAAGCTCGGACCACCACACCACCTAGCTGCTCACGCGCCACGCTGGACTCCGTCACCTGAAATAGAAAAGACTGTAGGGACGTGAGCACACTGACTACGTGCTCCGTGGGAATTGGCACTGAAAAAGTAACAACTATAAACATAACATGAAAACAGCATATGCATAAATAAACTGTATTGTAATGTCAATTGTTATGTCCGGGAATCGGGCCGGAATCATGTGATCCCATACTGGGAATCGCCTCCCACAGAAACCCAGGGTGGGAAAACCTTCCACTCAATCCGGGCGAGTGACCCAGGGTGGGAAACCCTTCCACTTGATCCGGGTCATCATATCTCGACCAAGAACGAAAGATACTCAACCGTTCAAGTCATAAACTTACTTACATACATACCTCTGAAGTCGGCACTGAATATACATCACATATAATAATCCACCATGAAATAAGCATATACGGAAATAACTGATCTGAATATAAAGCGAACAAGAACATTCGGTCTTGACCGGAAAATCATGTGCACACTCTGGGTGTTCTTAGGATGCCCCAGAACCTGTATGGTGTCCTTGGGACTCCCAATCTCAGGCAATAGTAGTTGCGAGGACCCCCTTGGGAGTCGTTGCCCTTGTGGAAAACACTTTATCTCTGTATACATAACTCAACTTGGTATACGATTGAATGACCCACGGTGGGAAAACCTTCCACTCAATCTGGGTCATAATAACTCGACCAAGAATGGGAGATACTCAACCGTTTAGGTCATAAACCTTTTATACATACCTTATATATGATACATGATTATACGCAATGCAACACCCTGTACGGGCTCCCACCTGATAAGCTGGAACAGTTTCAAGTGCTGGAATGAATGCTCGTAGCTGATGGAGGCTCGACTCTCCTCAAACTACCAAAATAATCAAGCAAATATTTCTAAGTAATTTGCTCGATTGAACTACTGATCTCAAAACTTAACACTCAAAGTCAAGCAGATAAACAAGTAAAGCAGATAAGGCAGACACAACAGATAAATAAATACAATCATCCAATTAGAGCAGATAAGAACAAATAAACAAACAAATAACAATTAAATTTCTAGAGAAAAAGAAGAAGTTCTAGGGGTCGGGAAATCTCATCAAGTCTTAAACTATGTTGAACGCTTATTTGTTCGGTTACAAGATTCAACAAGCCTACACGTCTAGAGGGCTATGCTCAATAACTCTTCGTAACAAGAGCACAAACATAAACGATAAACTCATTCAAACAAGCAACACATAGACAATACTTTTATGAACATGTCTACTCTATACGATCCTAAATCGACCAACGTCTCCCCTCTCGGTTCTAAACGTCAATTAACTAGGTTAGAATGGTGACCAATCAACTAACCCTATAATTCACACAGCTCGTATAGATTGAACAAAACACATTCCTCATAATTCAAAACAAGAATCAAAATCCCTAACCCTAGGTGAATGGATTACCTCATGCTTAGATTCAATTTCAGGTTAAACGGAATTAAGAACATAAAACCAATCAACCATAATAAAATAGAATTGAAAAACTTACAATCGGATTAAGAGTTGCAAGATTTCAATCCAAATATCTTTGTGTCCAACAATCCAAGCATGAGAGAAAAAAAAGAAAAGCGGAGAAATTTATCCTAACAATATTGAGTTTTTGGAGAAAAAAATTGAAAGGAACGATATTGAGGATTGTTCCTTAGGTCTGGGGGTCGTTTTATATATAGAGCTTGAAAAACGGAGCTAAAACGAGTAAAAACGGAGAAAAATAAAAACAGGGTCGAACAGGTCGCGAGTCGCAAGTCTGACGCGTCGTGGGGTTGCGCAGCTGGTCAGAGGCTCTGTTAAAGTCGCGAGTCGCGACTTTTCTCTCGGGAGTCGCGACTTTGGACTGCACTGCGCTATTTTACGTTTCGGGCTCGTTTGGGCTCGTCCGAACTCAGAATTGAGTTCTGTTTTTTGCTACGCGTCGCTAACGAACCCATCTATCCAATTATGCTTTCAAAACTAACTTTTCCTGAAGAGAAAATTCTCCCGAAGCTCCCGACCAACACACCAAAAATGACAAAACACGAAGAAAACTGGGAAAACAAACGAAAAACACCTAAAGAATCAAAATAAAGAAACACACATAATAAAACACGAAACAAACTAAAAACGAAAGAAACGATCTAAAACGGGGGATAAAGAAAAGCAAAACGAGCACGAAAAATGCAACAAAAATGGGACAAGCAATACATTTCTACTCATGTGCACATCTATAAAAGCCATTGAAGGTCGAAACTGCACACAACAATGGGAGTAAAATACTGAAGGACGTACAACTCACATCGGCCTTGCCTATCATTAGTTAGGGAGACTGCCTATCATTAGGCACCGTCGAAGTTCGAAACTGCACACGACGACGGGGATAACCGTTCGAAGGTCGAAACCACACACATCGAAGGTTACATGGTTCACACGCATACATTGATCATACCATCCACATTTATAAAGAATTTAAGACATAGGAACTTTAAATAAACCCACCTGGTTTGAAGAAAAAGATTGCACGAAAATCACGTGTAGGTAGAGAACTCGGCTCGTCAAACACCTACAATTTTTATGATAGTCCTATCAAAAACTATCCGACACATGGAAACACGTTCAACAACATTCACTTAGTCGAAACATTATCGACTAAGTGATTCGTGGAAATTCTTAATTGGAGTTGGGAACTTTTGGTTTAACCATCTAGACTAGAAAAACCAATTTATAAGTCATATATAACACATATAGCATGCCGGACATGTAAAATAAGCTAACGGGTCAAAAGGTAAATCAAACGGATCGGGAAATAGCCCAACCGGGGTGCACATTTGGAAAAAAAATTCAAGTTCCCCAGGTAAAAATTCAAATTCCCCAGGTAAACCTTCGAGTTTCTAAATAAACTTTTGACACAAGCAACAAATCACAGAGAAAAACAACATATCCAAAACACAGCACATTTGGAGAACAATCCGAATTTATTGGATTTTAACAAGATTCTGACCAGAACATAAATTTAACAAACCACATAGCTACAGGTCGAGATTAGACTTGAAATTTTTACACAGTGTACAATATCAATAGAGGTCCAACATATCAAAATTTCATGGCAATATGATAAGAACTCGATTTATTATGATTTTGCAAAGATTCGGCAGCAGACTCGGTTTTAAAAATTCATAACTCAATGCATAGACCTCCAAATGATCCGAAATTTTCACTAAAATGATAAGGACACTCCAAACTGTACAGAACTCCTAGGATTCTATGAAAATAACCATCGTCCTTCAGTTTCGACAATAAACCGAAGAGACGGACGCCAAATCCACATAAAATCATAACATATTATATATTAAATTCAAGACCCTCAACAATAAACATATAAACGCATGAATTAAATGGGGTTAAATCTGTTTGTACCGTTCTCGGGATTAACACACGAAAACGAACAAGAGAGGGGCTGACGGGAGTCAAGAGTCGCACACGTCGGGATCGGCAGCTTGCCCGTGGCTCGCGTGATCGGAGCTCCGAGGTCGCGCAGCAAAGGTGATGATCGCCGGTGGGAGGGAAGCTCGCTGGGAGTTGCAGCGACGGCGGAGGATGGCTCGCTGCTGGGTTTCTGCGCGTGAACAGGGGATGTAGACGGGGCACTGCGATGGCGTGAGGGTGATGCTGATCGGGTTTCTACGTGAAGGAGGCTTCTCCTCCTTCTTCTTTTTTTTTATACGATGAGAAAGAGAGAGATCGAGAGGGACGGGATGAGAGATTGAGATGGGAGAGCTAGAGAGTTATGAGCGTGGGATTTGCGGCGAGAGAGAAAGTGACGAGAGATATGAGAGGGCTACGCATTAAAAATAAGACTTAGGACAACTATTCTCGCTCTTCAAGCTATTTAGGAAACGGGTCGGGTCACGGGCGGTTCACAGCGAGACGAGTCGGCCGATTTCAACTACCGATTTAATTAA